GTGACCAGCCTGGCTAACATGGTGAAACCCTGTCTCCACTAAAAATATAAAAAATGAGCCAAGCATGGTGGTATATGCCTGTAATCCCAGCTACTTGGGAGGTTGAGGCAGGAGAATCGTTTGAACCCCGGAGGCGGAGGTTGCAGTAAGCTGAGATTGTGCCACTGCACTACAGCCTGGGTGACAGAGTAAGACCCTTGTCTCAAAATAAATAAATAAATGTAGGAATGTGATTTATAAGAAGACTGATCAATAATCCTAGAAAGACCAAGTGGATTGAATCTCCTATATAAGAAAGGGACAAAACAGAACTCACATAGCCAGAGCCACTTTCTCACTGCAGCAAAAGGAAGGGGATGAGCCTATGAGGAGGTGAGGAGAAAGAAGAATAAGGAAGCAATGTCTTTAATGCCACTCCACACAAGGGGCACTCCAATAGAGTTACTTTGTGTAGTCTTTTTCTACAGAAAGCAGGGCAGAGCAGGGCCACAGGGTGTTGCCACATGAATCATCTCCAATAATGAGATGACACATATGTCAGAATTATACAACAAAGGTCTTTTGTTTAAGGTCTTTATAACAATGCTCAAATGAGCAATCATGAATGCTCTTGAAATAAATGCTAAAACAGATATTATTAGCAAAGTTATAGAGGATATAAGGACAAAGTGAATGAAAATTTTATTTTATATGTATTTTTGAGACAGAGTCTTGCTCTGTCACCCTGGCTAGACTGCAGTGGCACAATCTTGGCTCATTACACCCTCGACTTCCCAGGCTCAAATGATCCTCCCATCTCATGAGTAGCTGAGACTACAGGCGCACACCACCACACCTGGCTAATTTTTGTATTTTCTTTTGTAGAGATGGGGTTTCGCCATGTTGCCCAGGCTGGTCTTGAACTCCTGAGCTCATGCAATCATTCCGCCTTGGTCTCCCAAAGTGTTAAGATTACAGCCGTGAGCCATCATGTGCAGCTGAATGAAAATTTTAGAACTAAAACAGAATAATCACAATAAAAAAACTTAAAGGATGGGCTCAACAGCAGAATGGAGGGGATAGAGGAAAGAATCAGTGAACTAGAAGACAGAACATTGGAAATTAGTCTAAACAACAGAGAAAAATTACTGAAAAGAAATTCTCAAGGACTTGTGTAACAACAACAAAGGGTCTAACATTTGTGTCACTGGAGTTCTGGGAGACAGAAAGAGTGAAATGCAGAAAAAACATTTAAAGAAATAATAGCTGAAAACTTCCCATGCTTGGCAAAAGTCAAACCTATATATTCATGAAGCTGAGTAAACTGCAAATAGGATAAATCCAAATAAATCCATGCCCAGACATATCATAAATTGCTGAAAACTAAAGAAAAAGAAAAAAGTCTTAAAAGCAGCCAGAGAAAGGGATACATTACTGATAAGGGATGAATGATTCAAGTGACCTGATTTCTCATCAGAAATCATGGAGGGCCAGAAGGAAGAGGCATTAAGAACTGTCAACCTGGAGTTCATATACAAGAATATTCTTCAGGAATGAAGGTGAAATAAAAACATTCTCAGATGAAGGCAAACTAACAAAATTCATAGCCAGAAGTCCTGCTTTAAGAAAATTACTAAAGGAGGCCAGGCACGGTGGCTCATGCCTATAATCCCAGCATTTTGGGAGGTCAAGGCAGGTGGATCACAAGGTCAGGAATTCAAGACCAGCCTGGCCAATAAGGTGAAACCCCGTCTCTACTAAAAATACAAAAGTTAGCTGGGCGTGGTGGTGGGTGCCTGTAATCCCAGCTACTTAGGAGGCTGAGGCAGGAGAACTGCTTGAACCCAGGAGGTGGAGGCTGCAGTGAGCCAAGATTGTACCACTGCACTCCAGCCTGGGCAGCAGAGTGAGACTCCATCTCAAAAAAGAAAAGAAAAAGGTGGAAATACACATACCATGCAGACAATCAAAAGGAAGCTGGAGTGGCTATATTAACATCAGAAAAATATTTCCGTTTTTTTTTTTCTTTTTTTTTTTTGAGGTAGGGTCTTGCTCTGTCACCCAGGCTGGAGTACAGTGGCACAATCTTGGCTCACTGCAGCCTAAACCTCTTGGGCTCAAGCAATCCTCCCACCTCAGCCTCCCAAGTAGCTGGGACTATACATGTGTGCCACCAGGCCCAGTTAATTTTTTTTTTTTTCATAGAGATGAGATCTCACTGTGTTGCCCAAGCTGATACTGGACTCCTGGGCTCAAGCAATCCTCCCACCTCAGCCTCCCAAAGAGTTGGGATTCCAAGTGTGAACCACCGTGTCCAGCCTGGACATATATATATATATATTTGTTGTTGTTGTTGTTGTTTTTGAGACAGAGTCTCGCTCTGTTCCCCAGGCTGGAATGCAGTGGCGTGATGTCGGCTAACTGCAAGCTCCGCTTCCTGGGTTCACGCCATTCTCCTGCCTCAGCCTCCCGAGTGTCTGGGACTACAGGCACCCGCCACTACGCCTGGCTAATTTTTTTGTATTTTTTTTTAGTAGAGACAGGTTTTCACCATTTTAGCCAGGATGGTCTCAATCTCCTGACCTCGTGATCTGCCCGCCTCGGCCTCCCAAAGTGCTGGGATTACAGGTGTGAGCCACCGCGCCCAGCCGATCTTTTTTTTTTTTTTGAGACGGAGTTTTGTTCTTGTTGCCCAGGCTGGTGTGCAATGGCATGATCACAGCTCACTGCAACTTTCACCTCCAGGTTCAAGCGATTCTCCTACGTTAGCCTCCCAAGTAGCTGGGATTACAGATGTCTGTCACCACGCCTGGCTCATTTTTGTATTTTTGGTAGAGATGGGGTTTCACCATGTTGGACAGGCTGGTCTTGAACTCCTGACCACAGGTGATCCGTCTGCCTTGGCCTCCCAAAGTGCTGGGATTACAGGCATGAGCCACCCTGCCCAGCGAGAGACTTTGACAAAAGGGTCAGTTCACCAAGAAGATATTTAATGTGTATACACCTAACAACAGAGCTTCAAATAAATAAATAAATAAATAAATAGACATAATATATTCACAGGTCAAAATACTCACCACGGTAAAGGTCAACTCTCTCCAAACACATTTATAAATTTAATGCAATATAAATCCCAGCAGGATTTTTTTTTTTTTTTTAAGATACAGATGAGCTGATGCTACAATTTACATGGAAGGGTAAAGGAACCAGACTAGCTAAAACAATTTTGGAAAAGAATGAAGTTGGAAGAATCACACTACCTGATTTTAAGATTTACTATAAAGCTATTAATAATCAAGACAGTGTGGTACTGATGAAGAAACAGACACACACAAATCCAGAGAATATAATGGAGAATCCAGAAATACAGTCACAAAAAATATGGCTATTTGATTTTTGAAAAAGGTGCAAAAGAATTTCAATGGAGAAAGCAACTCACCATAACCAAAGCTGGGGATACTATGGTGAAAAAAATCCAAGACTATATACAAATGACCAGCAAAACAGGAATTGGTGGGTGTAGTTGGTTACTAACTCTGATACATACTGATGCACCACACAATGTACGTATTCAGGACAAAGTTTCTAAACTAATAGGTCAAACAAACAAGGAAGACTTGTTCTGGATTAACCTGTTAAAAATTTAATCTTTTCATTTATGGTCATCAAAAAGACTCCAAATGAGAAACAGACCACCTTCTATTACTTCATGTTAATTTTGGCCATGTGTCAAAATTAACTTCTGGGAAAAGTAAAAAATCAAACAGTGGCCAGGCGCCGATGCTCACGCCTGTAATCCCAGCACTTTGGGAGGCCGAGGCGGTGGATTACTTGAAGTCAGGAGTTCAAGACCAGCCTGGCCAACATGGTGAAACCCCATCCCTACTAAAAATACAAAATTTAACTGGGTGCGGTGGCGCATGTCTATAATCCCAGCTACTCGGGAGGCTGAGGCAGGAGAATTGCTTAAGCCCAGGAGGTGGAGTTTGCAGTGAGCCAAGATTACGCCATTGCACTCCAGCCTGGACGACAGAGTGAGACCCTGTCTCAAAAAAAAAAAAAAAAAAAAAAAAAATCGAACAGTAATTAATGCTTCAGTTTAATCCAAGGTTAGGTCTAAAATGCTATTAAACAGAAATATATCAACTCTTTGATGAAAAATATGCAGAAAGAGCAAAGGACCAATAGATGATTTCAAATATTTAACAATAATATGATTATTTTTATTATTATTCAAATAACCTAACAAATTAACTTTCTTTGAAGAGACTGGCAATTTAACTTCACCACAGTTAGGCTATATATGACACAGCTGTTGCAACGCACAGCTTTTTCAAGTCCTTGCTTTAAATACCAATTAGAAAACCCAGAAAGGGAGAAGGAAAGGGTGACAAAAAATAAAAATTCTGAATATTTGTAGTCAGAGGCAATACAAGAAATAGAATTAAAAAGAATTCTTACAGGCTATGTATCTTAATGTATACAGCAGGATATACACACCCAAGTTTGTACTTAAGTTACAAAGCACCTATGACCCAACCATGCAACTGAATAGCTAAACAATCCCGAGAATTCATATCTCTACATATGTGTTCTTCCCCTATTCCGTATGTCTTACCTTCTTAAATCCCTACCCCCATGAGATAATTGCTCCCTTTTTTTGTACCACTAGTAATAAAGAAATATTGGGAACATTTTCAGTGGGGAAATTAGTATATACTCATCTTGAGTAGAAAAACTAACATATCTGTTTCCTATTCATACAGCATGGCAGCAAGCAGCATCCCTACTGCTATGAAACTTTATAATGGTGTCATCACTATTAAAAGTATCAGTTATACTACTCTCGTAAAGCCTTCAAACAATTGATTTTTATGTGACCTCATCCTGAAATATTCTATTACCCCAATCAAAATAAGCCTATTTTTTTCAACTACTGAAAATAAAAGTGTTTAAACATACCACAGCATACCACTGCTACTAGAAAATGGAACAAGAAGATTTACTTATCATCAACTTACCTCATGTAAATTCAATTCTTTTACTTTCTCTTTTAATATAACCTGTAAGACAAAAAAGTATGTTCTTATGCCCATTTAAATCTGTAATTTTAAATAGTTTTCATATGCACACATATTTTTATTTTGTATATATGGCTCATTTCCCTCATACTCAATATTGGAGAGAATTTCTTTTACAGTTTGAGACAGATCATTTTAGCCCCATTTTTTTAACCTGAGCAATGATGCAATATTCTCCTAAAAAAGGAATTTTGGCCGAGCACAGTGGCTCACACCTGTAATCCTAGCACTTTGGGAGGCCGAGGCAGATAGATGGCCTGAGGTCAGGAGTTTGAGACCAGCCTGGTCAACATAGTGAAACCCTGTCTCTACTAAAAATACAAAAATTAGCTGGACGTGGTGGCGCCTGGCTGTAATCCCAGCTACTCGGCAGGCTAACGCAGGAGATTCACCTGAACCCGGGAGGCGGAAGTTGCAGTGAGCCAAGATCGCTCCATTGCACTTCAGCCTGGGCAACAAGAATCAAACTCCGTCTCAAAAAAAAAAAAAAAAAAAGTAAGTCAATCTTAATTTTGAAAGTTTTGACTCCATGGTGACCAGACAGTAGTTAAAATGAATGCCAAGTGATAAGAAGGAAGTTTGCTATTTAAGAAAAAACTCTGAGACTAAATATAGCTTATTAGAATATATTTCATCTTAAAGTGAAGAAAATAGGCAAGTAAAATTTGAGGGGAAAACTTCTAAATGTTGGTGTCTTACATTCCTGAACTAAAAATGGATTTGAGGGTAAATCCTGTTTTCGGAAATCACACTAGAAGCTACTATCAGGTCTCATAGGGATATACTAAATTTCCTATCCAGTATATTTTAAAGATCAAATTTACTGTATGTCTTGTGACTTGACTAGTTTTATCAGTCAGTTTCACTTAAGTGACTGCAAAGGCCAATTTTACTTTCTAGTTAGCCTACATACAAATATCTTGTAAGTTGTCAAGATCATAATAGGTGGCCAGGCACAGTAGCTCACACCTGTAATCCCAGCACTTGGGGAGGATGAGGCGGGCGGATTGCTCGAGCCCAGGACTTTAAGACCAGTCTAGGCAACACAGCGAAACCCTGTCTCTACAAAAAATACAAAAATTAGCGAGGTGTGGTGGTGCACGCCTGTAATCCCTGCTACTTGGGAGGCTCACTTGAGCCCAGGAGGCAGAGGTTGCAGTGAGCTGAGATTGCACCACTGCACTCCAGCCTGTGTGACAGAAGTGAGACCCTGTCTCAAAACAAAACAAAACAAAACAGATTATGATAGAAGCCTGAGAAACATGGTGAGACCCCATCTCTACAAAAAGTACAAAAATTAGCCGGGGGTGGCGGTGTGCGCCTGTAGCCCCAACTATGCATGCCACCACACTCAGCTAAGGTGGGAGGATCACCTGAGCCCAGGGAGGTCAAGGCTGCAGTGGGCTGTGATCATGTCACTGCAGTCCAGTCTGGGTGACAGAGACCCTGTCTTAAAAAAAGAAAAAAAAAAAAAAGATTATGATAGGGCTGAGGCGAAAATATTCATTCATCTAGAAAACTAAAATACTCAACTCTGATTATGGATCCCACATGAGACCTATGAGAGTGTGGGGTTACCTAAGGACATCAGTATGTCCATCTAGGGAAGGTGCCAATGAGCTCAGATTTCAAAGATACAAGGACAAAAGATGAACAGAAAGATAAGCAGTCCTGGCTGGGCATGGTGGCTCACACCTGTAATCCCAGCACTTTGGGAGGCCAAGGCAGGCAGATCATGAGGTCAAGAGATCAAGACCATCCTGGCCAACATAGTGACATGGTGTCTCTACCAAAAATATAAAAATTAGCTGGGCGTGGTGGCAGGTGCCTGTCGTCCCAGCTACTTGGGAGGCTGAGGCAGGAGATCACTTGAACCCGGGAGGCGGGGGTTGCATTGAGCCGGGATCTCGCCATTGCCTGGCGACAGAGTGAGACTCCGTCTCAAAAACAAACAAAAACAAGATAGGCAGTTCTGAAGTGTTACAGTTCCATAACATCAGTGTCAGCAAGGTTAAAGACTCAAAGAAGCTGAAGCTCCCCTGTACCCAAGAAGAACGCTAAGAGTAACAAAAAATAAGATTTTCATGCTTAGAGTCCAAGGAAAATCTAGGCCACCTGTTTGGTGTTAGTGGTAAAATATTAATGGAAGAAAAAAATAATTTTACTTGGCCTTGAAGAAAAGATAAGTGTATTAACTTAAAGACAAAATCAGTGAAGGACTAGGTCATTAACAGCTATGATCCAAGTTTGCAGACTTCTAGTGGATAATATGAGTTAACATTTAAAGTACAAAAGGCAGTAGATGAGATCACTGTAACACAGTTGGTCACCTCCGAGGAACTATGTCTTCTAATAAAGAAGGAAGGAAAAATTTCACTTAATGGTATCTCAGAACTCCATTAAGTTGACAGTAACTTTAAGAATTACAAGCTATATAGCATTTCTCTTTAGCAAACTGTTGGCTCAAGTTTCCTGCTAAATTATATCATTTGAACTTTCCATAGCTTCAAGTAATGCTTATAAAATAAGAGAATAATACTTAAGAAAATGAAGTTGATATATTATACTGCAAATTGGCGGTGAGATGCTAAAATGAACACAAGTAAATTCAGTCCCAGTTTAAAGTATGAGTGGAAATCAGAGTTCTCAGTTTTTTTGGAGGAAAAAAACTCAAAGCCAAACTGAATTAAATTTCTCACCTGTTTGTAGGCATAAAATTCTTTGTGTGCTTGATGTCTTAGCCTAAAAGACAGAAATTAGCAATGCAATATTGAGATTTCAAACATAGTAACTTGAAGAAAAATAAAAAGCTGCTGGTTTTGGTATTAATTTATATCATTTATGGCTCAAATGATATAAATTAGAACCTTTACCCTGAAATGCACCCAAATGACGTATCTCTTAACATGTTACGTGAAAGTGACCAGGGAACCATGAAATGTTACCCAAACGTAAGATGACTCAATTCTTTTTATACTGACAGTCTACTTATTTCAATAATATTTATATTTTTTCTTAATTAGAAAAAATGTCAGTATAACATACATCCAATGAAGTATAAAAACCTTAAGTATACAGCTCAAAATCTTAAAAAATGTACATACCAGGATAACTATTGCTCATATCAAGACATGGTACATTTCCAGCACATCTGGGCCCTCTAAAATGACCCTTCCTAATCAATATCCATGCCCCAGAGGTAGCACTATCCTGATTTCTAATACTGTAGACTAATTACATCTGTTTTTGAACTTCATGTAAATGGATCATTTGGTATATACTCGTTTGTGTTTGGTTTCTTTCAGTCTACAATGCCTTATGAGATTCTTCCATATGGTTGTAGTAATTGTCTTTCTGACTGACATACAGTATTCCATTGTATGAATATAGTATCATTTATTTATCCATTTTACTGCTGATGAATATTTAACTACTTCCTGTTTGAGGGTATTACTAATAAAGCTGATACACAAATTCTACATGTCTTTTAGTGGACATATACACTCATTTCTGTTAAGTATATACCCAGGAGTAGAACTGCTGGTTCAAAGTACCACACCAAGGCTGGGCACTGTGGCTCACGCCTGTAATCCTAGCACTTTGGGAGGCCGAGGCAGGCGGATGGCCTGAGGTCAGGAGTTCGAGACCAGACTGGCCAACATGGAGAAACCCCCAACTCTACTAAAAATACAAAAATTAGCCAGGCGTGGTGACATATGCCTGTAATCCCAGCTACTTGGGGGGCTGAGGCAGGAGAATCACTTGAACCCAGGACGTGAAGGTTGCAGTGAGCCGAGATCATGCCACTGCACTCCAGCCTGGGTGATATAGTGAGACTCTGTCTCAAAAAAAAAAAAAACAAAAAAACAAAGTACTCACCCCGGCTGGGCACAGTGGCTCCTGCCTATAATCACAGCACTTTGGGAGGTTGAGGCAGGAGGATCACTTGAGCCCAGGAGTTCGAGACCAGCCTGGGCAACACAGCGAAACCTCACCTGTACAAAAAATACAATTATCTGGGCATGGTGGCGTGTGGCCTGTAGTCCCAGCTACTCAGGAGGCTGAGGCAGGAGGATTGCTTGAGCCTGGGAGGTGAAGGCTGCAGTGAGCTGGGACTGTGCCACCCCATTCCAGCCTGGGTCGACAAAGTGAGATCCTGTCTCAAAAAAAAGAAAAAGAAAAAGAAAAAACAACCTCATAACAATTTTACTCCTATGGGTAGTTCACAAGAGTTCTAGGTGTTCACATCTTTGCAGGTTAAGTTTGAAAAATTTTAAATTTAAGTAAGTCTAATTTATCAACTTTTCCCAATTAGGTTAGTTCTTTTTGTGTCCCATTAAAGAAATCTTTGCCTATCCCAAGACTATGAAGATATTCTCCCATGTTGTGAAAACAATTTGTTGTTTTACCTATAGAATATAGGTCTATGATCCATCTGAAATTGGTCTTTATGTATGCTGTGAGGTAGGGGTCCAGATGCTTTTTATCCTCATATAGATTTTCATTTGCCTCACCATCATTTATTGAAAAGATTCTCCCCTTTCCCCACTGCACTGCAGTGGCACATCTGTTGTAAATCAGATGTATCGAATATGTGAGTCTATTTCTAGAGCTGCTATTATTATGCTCCATTGGTCTATTTGCCTATCCTTGTATACTGACTGGGGTGAACGTGTCCCCCTCAGCTCCCAATTCATGTCAAACTGGAACCTCAGAATATAACCTTATTTGAAAATAGGGTATTTTCAGATTATTAGTTTGTTAAGATGAGGTCATATTGGATTAAGGTGAGCCCTAAATTCAATTTGACTGCTATCCTTAGAAGAAGAGGAGAGGATACGCAGAGACAGACGGAAAAGAAGGCCATGTGAAGACAGAGACAGAGACTGAAGTGAGGCAGCTACAAGCCAAGGAATGCCAAGGCTTTCTGGTACTCCCTGCAAGCTAGGAAAAGGCAAGAAAGACTCTCTCCTAGAGCCTCCAGAGAAAGCATGACTCTGCCAGCACTTTAAGTTTGAACTTTTCTAGCTTTCACGATTGTGAGAAATTACATTTCTAAGTTGCCCAATTTGTGGCACTTTGTTATATCAACACCAAGCAACCAATGTACCTTATGTCAATATCATGCTATTTTAAAAACTTTTATTTTGAAATAATTTTAGACGGAAAAGTTGCAAAAAATAGAATTCACATATACCTACCAGCTTTCACATTTATATAACCATAGTTGTATATACTATGTCCACATTTAATACAACCAGAGTACAATTATCAAAACCATTAAATTAACATTGATATATTAGTATTGATGTAACGTTGATGTATTTTGAACTAAACTACAGACCTTATTTGAATTTTACCAGTTTTTTCTCTCATGTCCTTTTGCTGTTCTATGATCCAATCCAGGATCCCACCTTGCATCTAGCTATGTCTCCTTAGCCACCTCTAATTTGTTTTTTTTGTTTTGGAGACAGTCTCGCTCTGTCACCCAGGCTGGAGTGCAGTGGCATGATCTCAGCTCACTGCAAGCTCCGCCTCCTGGGTTCACAACAGTCTCCTGCCTCAGCCTCCTGAGTAGCTGGGACTACAGGTGCCCAGCAACACACCCGGCTAATTTTTTTTGTATTTTTAGTAGAGAGGGGGTTTCACCGTGTTAGCCAGGATGGTCTAGATCTCCTGACCTCGTGCTTCACCCGCCTCAGCCTCCCAAAATGCTGGGATTACAGGCGTGAGCCACCGTGCCTGGCCAGCCACCTCTAATTTGTTGAGAGTTCCTTAGTCTTTCCTTGTCTTTCAAGATTCTGACATATTAAGTATGATCACTTTTTCTTGGTGGAATTTGAAGATTTCAATTTAAGATTAAGACAGTGTCCACTGGGTTTCTCCACTGTAAAGTTGTTAATTTCTCCTCTGTAACTGATAAATATCTTGAGGGAGATATGCTGAAATTCTACACATCCTCTATTTTTTTCTCAAGCTTTTGCCCACCAATTTTAGCATGCACCTTGCTTGCAATAATTACTGTAGTGTTTGCCTAAATTCTAATGGTGGTTTTGTAGTTCTCTAATTCCTTGCACATTTGTTAACTGGAGTTCTTCTATAAGGAAGAGATGTGCTTCCTTATTTATTTGTGCAATTATTTATTTCTAGCAGTCTAGACTCATGGATATTGGTTTTAATCTATGGGAAGAGATGTGCTTCCTTGTTTATTTGTGCAATTATTTATTTCTATCAGTCTAGACTCATGGATATTGGTTTTAATCTATGGGAAGAGATGTGCTTTCCTCGTTTATTTGTGCAATTATTTATTTCTATCAGTCTAGACTCATGGATATTGGTTTTAATCTATGGGTTACAGTTCAATATGATCACTACTTTTTGTTGCTCAAACTGATTGGCCTGAGTCCTTCAGGCTGATTCTTGTGTCCTTTCAACAAGCCCCCATCCTTTCCCATGCATTTCCTTATTTACTGGCACCAAAAGATGTTTCAGGCTCATTTTATATGTTCTGTGTTCCAGTCCCGGGGTTAGCCACTTCTTCCAAGGAACCCTAATTCCTTTTACTGGAGAAAAGTATTTAGAACTTCAGATATGGGTGCCTGGTAAATAGCACTTTCTCTTAATATTGTTGATTTAAAACAAGTTTTGGGGTCTGGTAGTAAAAGTCCTCAAGTTTTATTCTTTTTAATGACTGGCTTGGCTATTCTTGGTTCTCTGCATTTCCATATAGATTTCAATTGCCACCAGAAAGGAAAAAAAAAAAAACCCTCTTGGGATTTTGGGTGAGAATGTATGAAATTTACAGATCAATTGAGGAAGAACCGACATTTTTGCAAGACTGAGTTTCTAACCTAAGAACATTATTTCTTTATTTACAGCTTTAATGTCTCTCTCACACATTTCTCCTAGACATTTGGTAAGTTTTGATGCTACTGTAAATAGTATTTTAAAAATCTTTTATTTTCTAATTATTTCTTGCTACTTATATGGAAAAAAGTAATTTTTGTATATTGATCCTGTATCTGGTGACTTGCTAATTCTAAATAGTTTTTCTGTAAAAACTTTTGGATTTTTTAATGTACATAATTATGTTGTCTGCATATAATCACAATTTAAATCCTGCCTTTATAATCTTTATATACTTCTTTTCTAAATACACTTTTCTTTTATTCTTTTTTTCCCTGTTTTTTTGCACTGACTAGCTAGGCCCTCCAGTATGATGCTAAATAAAAGTGATAGTGAATGTCCCTATAAATACATCACTATTAAGTATGATGTTTTCTTTAGTTTTTTTTGTAGATACCCTTTCAAATTTTAGAAAGTTCTCTTGTAGTACTAGTTTATTTTACAAAAAAATCATGAATAGGTATTAAACTTTATCAATGCTTTATGATACTATACTATTAATGTGCTATATTGTATTGATTGATTTTCAAATCATTCTTGGAACAAACTTCATTTGGTTGTAATATTCTACCTTTTTTGTAGATCCCTGGATTTGATTTATAATATTTTGCTGATGAAAAGATCGGTCTATAATTTCCTTTCTCATAATATCATTGTCAGGCTTTGAAATCAAAATTATGCTGGCCTCATGAAATGAGTTGAGAAGTATTTGTTCCACTTTTATTCTCTGGAAGTGTCATATAGGAGTGGTACTTTTTTCCTTAAATGTTTGGATCAGTTACTTGGCTTAAAATATCACTGTGGGAATGTTTTAAAAATACATTCAATTTCTTTTC